AATTCCATGGAGTCTGAAATAACTCCACAAAGGTCAATATCCCGTCACCAAGTCACTCCTTATTTACACGTGCATAGTACACGATATTGACCCCGCTAGCTCAGAGCCAGCCTCCGAGATTAAGTAGAACCCCTGACACTCCTGTTTAGATCTGTCAGCCAGGACTCCCTGATTGGACCAGGTTAACAACCTGAATCAGGGAACTCATACTCTATGACTCCACCTGTCTGACCTCATTCCAATCACTACAGAGTCACTGAAAGAGACATTGCATGTGTTTTTTTTTCTTTATTCGTTAACGGGAGGAGAAGGTCGCTGGCTAGGCAGCATTTATTGTCCATCCCTAATTGCCCAGAGGGCAGTTCAGAATCAACCACATTGCTGTGGGTCTGGAGTCACATGTAGGCCAGACCAGGTAAGGATGGCAGTTTCCTTCCCTAAAGGACATTAGTGAACCAGATGGGTTTTTTCCTGACAATCGACAATGGATTCATAATTCCAGATTTTTTTTTAAATTGAATTCAAATTCCACCATCTGCTGTGGCGGGATTCAAACCCAGGTCCCCAGAGTGTTATCCAGGTCTCTGGATTAACAGTCCAGCGATAATACCACTAGGCCGTTGCTTCCCTGTTAGGTGGCTTCTTTATATGTTACTCAACCTGTTAAGGGCAAACGTTTGCCATTGTTATTTCAGAATTTCCACAACCCTATTTGATGGCATTGTGAAAGTATACTTCCTGATTACAGGTAATAACTACTTTCATACTCCCATTTTCAAATGCATGAGTTGGAAGATGCCAAACAGAAGCCAATTTCACTGTTATTCTTTGCTCTTGAATATTCAAAAATAGAGCCATCAAACCTTCCAGGATTGTCATGGCAGCCGTAGATGAGACTGAGGAGTATTTGTGAAGAGCCAATATCCCCCAAAATCTTGCAGAGTTCTGCTCTGCTGATGGCATTGAATGCCTTCTTGAGGCATACTAAAATATGGCAAAGGGGTATACTCTGTTCCCTTCACTTTTCACTGGTGTATCAAGAAGATCATGTCCACAATAGATCAGTTAGTATTGAAAATTCACTGTGCTTCCAAGGACCTTGGTCTGCAATTAGATGAAATCTTTTAAGTATGCCTCAAGCAAAGGCTTTCCCTGTAATTCTGAGTAGTGAGTTCCCTGGGTTGTTGTTGCAGTCTCAGCTGCTGCCTACGTTTTTGTATAAAACCTAAAGAAATTGGAACAGGAGTAGGCCATTCAGTTCCTCAAGCCTGCTCCATTCAATAGGATCATGGCTGATCCGACATTCCTCATGACCCTTCATCCCCTTACTGATCAAGAATCTATCTAACAGAGCCTCAGATATATAAAGACTCTGATCCCACACTTCTCTCTGACAAGGAGTTCCAAAGACTCTCAACCCTCTGACGGAAGAAATTCATCCTCATCTCAGTCTTAAATTGGTGCCCCTTTATTCTGAGTCTATGCCCTCTGATCCTAGACCCTCCCATGGGGGGAACATCCTCTCAACATTTTCCCTGTGAAGCCCATATGTCTCAATGAAACCATCTCTCATCTTTCTAAACCCCAGTGAACAGCATTCCAATCTGTTTAGCTTTTGCTCATAAGACAGTCCCTCCATACTGGGGATCATCCTAGTGAACCAATTCTCTGAATTGCTTCCAATGACATCATATATTCCCTTAAATAAGGGGACCAAAACTGCTCAAAGTACTCTAGATGTGGTCTCATCATCACTTGTAAAGTTACAGTCAGACTTCCCTACTCTCCTACTCCACCCCCTTGAAAAAAAGAGCCAACAGTCCATTGGCCTTCCTGATTACCTGCTGTACCTGTGTGCTAGCTTTCTGTGTTTCATGCACAAACACCCACAAGTCCCTTTGTGTTGCAACTTTCTGCAGCTATTCTCCATTTAAATAATACCCTGTTCTTTTGTTCTCCCTTCCAAAATGAACAACTTCACATTTTCCCACAAAAGTCTCTGTTTGCCAACATTTTGCCCACTTACTTAACCTTTTGATATCACTCTGTAAACTGTTTGTATCCCCTCTGCAACTTGCCTTTCTGCCTATTTTGGCTGCAGTACTTTCACTTTCTTCCTCCAAGGCATTAGTATATTTTGTAAATAGTTGCAGTCCCTGCAACTGATCCTGTGGAAGCACCCAAGTATGCTGTTTTGTCAGAGACGTGAACAATACACAGCAGACATCTCAAATCCCAGACAGTGTCACCAGCTATGCCTCTGCAAAATCCTGTAAACATGCTGGCAGAACAGGCGCTCCAAAATCAATGTTCTTTCTAAGTCATCGTCCTCACTGGAGGCACTGGTTTACAGTCAATCAGCTGTGCTGGCTGGGTCACATTGTCTACATGCCTGACACAAGACTTCCAAAGCAAGCCCTCTCCATCGTTTTGTTACAGTAAGCAGTTATCACGAGGGCAGAGAACATGCTTAATGACACCCTCAAAGCCTGCCTTAAAAAAAAATTTGAATATCTTTCCCAACTCATAGAATCTCTTGTCCATGATAGTCCACACTGAAAAAAGAGGCATCTGTCAACCATCTTGAGCATCTCTGATGGGTAAAGGTGGAGGCCAAGCACAAACAGCAAAGAGTATGCAAAATCCAAGCATCCCACCCTCCAGTCTCTTCAAACATTATTGACTCCATCTGTGGCGCGTATGTAGATCCAAGATTGGACAGGTTAGTCACATCATGACCCCAACATCAGAGTGGAGGGAAGTCATCATTGATCCCAAGGCACTGCCTAAGAAGTCATCCAGGGAGTAACTTAGCTACAAAGGCTCATGGAGATTCTCTCTCATGACTGTAACTTGTTTCCTCCCTTGAAGCACCAACATAAACTGTGACCAAGTGACAAGGTATTACATCTCTGCCCCTGATCACACTAATAGCACCTACTGGACATGATTAGTAAATTCTACTACCTTGTGACATGCACCAATCTGGAAAAGAAGCTTAACAATTCCCAAACTTCATTGTCTGGCTATAACTTGGCAGGACTGGTTCATGAATTCAGCAGACTTCTCCCAGGTTTGACGGCATTTACCAACTAGGGTCAACTTTCTTGGCTTGGCCACATTCATAGGATAGAAGATTGGAGTAGGAGGTTCTGTACTGTTGAGTCTGTAGAAATTGGGGATGGAGAGGTGACAGCCCCTAGTGGGTGTGCCAGGCCTCTGCTTTAAAAATCTAGCTAGAGTTGCTGGACCATTCCTCCTAACCCAATCCCTAACCCTAAGCAATCCGGCGACTTCAGCAACCTCCAGTCCCAATTCCCAGCTCATTCCAACCTGTTGCCTGTCCCATTCAGGTCAGCTCGATCTCCATTACTGGACATCTGCCCTGGCAGAGTACTGACGCTTCTCCAAGCCACCTTCTAAAACCAGACAACTCTCAGAGGAGAGTTGGGCGGCATAGCGGCTCAGTGTTTAGCACTGTTGCCTCACAGCGCCAGGGACCCAGCTTTGATTCCAGCTTCAGGTGTCTGTCTGTGTGGAGTTTGCACTTTCTTCCTGTGTCTGCATGGGTTTCCTCCGGGTGCTCCGGTTTCCTCCCACAGTCCAAAGATGTGCGGGCTAGGTAGATTGGCCAGGCTAAATTTCATTGTAGTGTCCAGGGGTGTGCAGGCTGGGTTGATTATCCATGGGAAATGCAGGGTTACGGGTGGGAGTGGGGTGCCCTTTGGAGGGGCCATGTGAACTTAATGGGCCAAATGGCCTGTTTCCACACTGTAGCAGATTCTATGAGAGCGCGAGACGGAGCTGGTGCTGCTGTTCCATCGTTTGTGTGTGTGTGTTTGTTTGCATGTGTCTTCCATGAAGGACTTTCTTTATCAACCTCTCCCCTCACCCGAGGCATGGTAACCCTCAGGTTAAACCACCACCAGTCTTCTCCTTCTGATGAGAGAGCAGCCCTACGGTCCAGGAGGACTATGGAGACTTTACCTTTACACGTGTCTGTGAGATACAGTAATTTAGATTAATTTTTAAAAAAAGGTGGACACAGGGTAGAAATCTGGAACAAATGGTGTCCTGGAAAGGCCAGACATGGGACTCTGGGGAGGGGAGAAGGAAAGAAGTTAAAATTACTACCTAACAGCAGAGGAAAATGACAACGCCCCCTGCAGGGTGACTTGTGCCAATCCAATGGGCAGCAGTTACAGCAGAGATAGCAGGAACTGCAGATGCTGGAGAATCTGAGATAACAAGGTGTAGAGCTGGATGAACACAGCAGGCCAAGCCACATCATAGGAGCAGGAAGGCTGACATTTCGGACCTAGACCCTTCATCAGCGGTTACAGCAGTTTGGCAACAGGTGCCAAAGACAACAGTCCACTGCAACACCTGGAAACCCCAAGCTTGGTACAGGGGCAGAACCAGGTCAGACTCTCGATCCATCAGCACCCGTGGGACCATATCATAATCCCTCCCCCTCTCCCCCAAACTGAAATGCACTGGTGCCTGTCTATCATCTTTGGTGGATGGATGTATGGGTGCGGAGGAGGCAGCTACTCATTTCAATGAAAACAGGGAATCGGTGCCTCTTTGCACATTTACATTAAGCACAGCCCAATGAACACACACCAACCGCGCCCCCCCCCCCAGAAAAATGGGTTAATTTCCCGTGAAAAAACCAGAACGCAGGAGTTTCCCTGCAGAACAGTGTCTCCCAGACTACAATCTGATATCCATCCTATTCCAACAACACCTCAATAAAATGAGACAACAAGGTGCAGAGCTGGATGAACACAGCTGGCCAACACAGCAGAAATGCTCCTATGATGCTGCTTGGCCTGCTGTGTTCATCCAGCCCTGCACCTTGTTGTCTCGGATTCTCCAGCATCTGCAGTTCCTACTATCTCTGATTCAATAAAATGAGGGCGCTTTGCACCTGCCCAGGTTCTATCAAAACACATCTATTTCTCGGTAACTGTCCCCTTTACAGTGCCTTGACCAACCTGTGGTGTCCGGGTCACAGAGGGACGAGTCATCGTCTTTGCGGTACCGCAGCACATTGTCGGTGGAGCCGGTATCGTCCTCGGGAAGCCGGGGGAAGCTGGTGATACTCATATAGTCTACGGGCGAGTAGGCCCCGAGGTTTGTCTCCTGACCGGCTTCTTCTTCCGCCATCCTCGCTGTATTTACCCCCTCTGTAACCTCTCTGCTTCAGCCCAGCAATTGCGAAGGGGCAACAAAAGGTCTTGAGACATTCACGGCCCCCCTCAGTCTCGGCTCCTCCGCAGCGATACACTGATGCCCTGTAATTTCTCCTCTCTGTCTCCTGTATATTGTGTCTCTGGCTTGTACGATGTTGCTTTTCAATTTGTATAACCCTTCCTTGTAGGAAGTGGGGGAGCGTCTGTGCACAGAGCTAGCAGGTTAAAAAATAAACACCCAGAAGCACCAGAATTTCAAGTAACTAGAAAAATGAGGTGGGTGGAGGAATACAGCGAGAAATACGAGCGGTTCAAATAAAAAGGGTATGGGTCAGATGACAACACCACACAGTCTTATGCGCACACACAACATGGATGGGTGCAATTTATGTTTATCTGCACATAAAATATTTGTATATGGATTTTTTTGCATATTTTAAAGTCTTTATAATATAATTAAATGTTACAAATAAAATGCTTTAAATGTAAATTTACCATATAATTTTATGTATACGTATCGGATTTTTGTTGCTACAGGTAACGGTCGGGGTTGTGGTTTAAAAAAAAGCAAAATGCAAGGGAGGGGGAGAATCGACGTGATACTGCACTGCAGAGAGCTGGAATGAATCAAAACCAATAAATCGACAAGATGCAAGTCTGGAGCATCGGAGGCTGAGGGTGACCTTATAGAGGTTTACAACACCATGTGGGGCATGGAAAGGGTGAATAGTCAAGGTCTTTTTCCTCCCAAGGTAGGGGAGTCCTGAGGTTTAAGGTGAGAGGGGAAAAATTTAAAAGGGTCTTAAGGAGCAACTTTTGCACCCAGAGGGTGGTGCGTGTATGGAATGAGCTGCCAGAGGAAGTGGTGGAAGTTGGCACAATTGCAACATTTAAAAGGCATCTGGATGGATACATGGAGAGGAAGGGCTTAGAGCTATATGGGTCAAATGCTGACAAGTGGGACCATAAATAATTTCTGGTGGGCATGGATGAGTTGGACCAAAGGGTCTGTTTCGGTGCTGTACAACTCTATGACTCTCAGTCATGCTCACTATTCTGCATTAGCTGGAATTTAAAAATAAACTGGTGCAGAATTGTGCTATTGTTACTGCAAATGAAAATGCTTCTCTTAAAATGATGTCTTTGTTCCTCCATTCCCTATCTCAGCTTATTCATTTTACACAATCAAACAACTTTTAGCTCAAGAATAAAATTCTGTGTGGATGCTGGCATTCTGATCGAAGAAAACAGAAACTGCTGGAACTAAACATGTAGCAGCATCTGTGGAGATGCAATCAGAAGTGAACTTGATCCTGATCTTAATTCTGTTTGTGGCAGAGTTTTGAATCAATTAAAATCTCACCCAAGGTTTTAGGTCGAAAAACATAAACACTGAAAGGTCATTGACCGTTTCTCTCTCTCTCTCCACAGATGGTGGCAGACATATTGTGAGCATTTCCAACATTTACTGTCTTTAGTTTCATATTTCCAACACCCACAGTATTTTGCTTCTGTGTTTAATATTCTGCCTACTTCAGCCAATTGCTGACACCAGCAACACAGATGGGGGAAGTGTTGTCACATTCACTTCTTTAAAATCTCTGAACTTCTCTCTGAAAATATTGCCCTGTAGATAAACCATAAGGAGAGAAGCGGAAGTAGGCCATTTGGACCTTCAAGACTGTTCCACCTTTCACTGAGATCATGGCTGGTTTGTTAATCCTCACCTTCACTTTCCTGCCTTTTTCCCATAAGCCTTTTTTCCCTTACTGAGTAACAATCTGTCTATCTCAGCCTTCAATATACCTAAGCATCCAGCCTTAACAGCCCTCTGCATTAAAGAATTCCACAGATTAACTTTCCTGTAATTTTCAGCTTTAATGTTGATTAACCTACACTCCCATGATTATGTGGCCAAAAAGGCCTGAAATAATTTTATAACACAGTGTGGAGCTGGAGTAACACAGCAGGCCGGGCATCATCAGAGGAGCAGGAAAGCTGACGTTTTGGGCCGGGACCCTTCTTCAGCAATGTAGCAATGTGAGAATCCAAGCTATATTCTGCATCAGTCAGTCTCTCTTTGAAATTCTGAATTACTAAGTTTGCTTTAACCTTATAAGTTCCACTGCAAGGACATTTTCAGTGCAAACCTTTCTACACGTAACCTGGTACCTCAGAATAATTTCCAAATTTTATAAACTATGTAACCCCATTTTATTTTAAAAAAAGAAAGAACCGCGGATGCTGGAAATCAGGTACAAAAACAGAAATTGCTAGAAAAGCTCAGCAGGTCTAGCAGCATCAGTGGAGAGAAATCAGAGTTAACATTTCGGGTCCTGTGACGCTTCCTCAGAACTAATGTTAGCTTATTCTCAACTTTATTGGCAGCCACTGAAATGTCAGGATCATGTCTCTTGGCTATCATCCTGAGTATTTAATTACAAATGAAACTTGCCCGGAAACTTTTCCTGCATGTCCACCAATTGTTGCAGTTTTCCATTCATTAGGACATATTTGGGACAGATTTCACCCATGTTATACAATAGGTATTCACTCTGGATGTGAGTGCTATGTCATCTGTGTCATAATCACACAAATTACTACTTGATCTAATGTATTATTTTCCTCAGCATCTTTATGACAAAAATGGACTTAGAGTCATAGAGATATACAGCATGGAAACAGACGCTTTGGACAAACTCGTCCATGCCAACTAGATATACTAGATAAATCTAGTCCCATTTGCCGCATTTGGCCCATATCCCTCTAAACCCTCCTATTCATATACTTATCCAGATGCCTTTTAAATGTTGTAATTGTACCAGCCTCCACCACTTCCTCCAGCAGTTCATTCCATTCACGCACCACCCTCTGCGTGAAAATGTTGCCCCTTGGGACTCTTTTAAATCTTTCCCCTCTCACTTTAAACCTATGCCCTCTAGTTTTCGACTCCCCCATGCTGGGAAAAAGACTTTGTCAATTTACCTTATCCATGCCCCTCATGATTTTATAAACTCTATCTAGTCAACCTTCTGCCTCCAATGCTCCAGGGAAAATAGCCCCAGCCTATTCAGCCTCTCCCTATAGCTCAAACCTTCCAACCCTGGCAACATCCTCGTAGATCTTTCCTGAATCGTTTAAAGTTTCACAACATCCTTCCTATAGCAGGGAGACCAGAATTACACACAGTATTCCAAAATTGGCCAACCGATGTCCTCTACAGCCCCAACATGACTTCTCAACTCCTATAGTTAATGCACTGACCAATAAAGGCAAGCATACCAAACACCTTCTTCACTATCCTATCTACTTGCGTGTCCACTTTCAAGGAGCTATGAACCTGCACTCCAAGGTCTCTTTGTTCAGCAACACTCCCAGGGCCTTACCGTTAATTGAATAAGTCCTGCCCTGATTTGCCTTTTCAAAGTGCAGCACCTCACATTTATTTAAACTAAATTCCATCAGCCATTCTCGGCCTATTTGGCCAATCTGATCAAGGTCATGTTGTACTCTGAGGTAGTCTTCTTCGCTGTCCAGTACACCTCCAATTTTGGTGTCATCCTCAAATTTACTAACCATACCTCCTATGTTCACTTCCAAATCATTTGAATAAATGACAAAAAGCAGTGGTCCCAGCATCAATCTTTGTGGCACAACACTGGTCACAGGCATCTAGTCTGAAAAGCAATCCTCCACTCGCACCGTCTGTCTTCTACCTCCGAGCCAGTTCTGTATCCAGATGGCTAGTTCTCCCTGAATTCCATGTGATCTAACCTTGCTAAGCAGTCTACCATGAGGAACCTTGTCAAATGCCTTACTGAAGTCCATATAGATCACGTCCACTGCTCTGCCCTCATTAATCCTCTTCGTTACATCTTTAACAAATTCAATTAAGTTAGTGAGACATGATTTCCCATCCACAAAGCCATGTTGACTATCCAAATCAGTCCTTGCCTTTCCAAACACATGTAAATCCTGTCCCTCGGGATTCCCTCCAACAACTTGCCCACCACCAATGTCAGGCTCATTGGTCCAAAGTTCCTTGGCTTTTCCTTACTACCTTCCTTAAATAGTGGCACTATGTCTGCCAATCTCCAGACTTTGTTAAAGTCAATGATATATTATTATCTCCTATTGCAATACATGTCTACTTTCCAAAATCTATCAAATACTCACCAGAATTGTAGATTTCATTTTGGAATTCCATGAGAAAATAAACCATTGTATTCCAACTGACTAGCACCCATTTTAGAAAACACCCTACCTATGTGTTATTTCCACAGAAAGCTGAAAAATAATTTTCTAGATTATTCCCACTTTCCAACTGTTGAACCTCAGCTTTGTAGATTGCAGCACTTAAAATGCATATCCAACTATTTTTCTGTTTTTGTAAAGACTGTGTTATTTTCTTTTACTGTGTTTTTTTAAATTGTAGACTGAAATGATAAAAGAACTATTTGAAAACAAAGGATTGCTGCATGTTTTTGAAAGCAAGTTACCTGTCATTTATTCTAAGTACTGCTTACACAGTTGCAGGAGTAGGAGATGGTGCAGATGTGCTGGAGCCAAACATGTGTACAAATTGAGGTTCAGCCAGCAACAAATAGCTGATTGGTATATACACTAGTGACCAGTTATCAATGAGAAAAGCCATTTTATTAGTTTAAAGGTAGCTAAACAGCTCAGGCTGGCGACAAGACATGCAGAGCCATCAGATCATTAGGTCAAGCTAATGTTTTCTACCCTGTTCTCTGCCGTAAAAGTCATTTTAAGCCTGAAGAAAATCGTTCTACTTTCCCATCAGCAGCTGCTGTGAGCTATGACATTTAAGTGTGAAACAATCACCATGTGCCTTCTGCACAGAGTGATTAGTTCATACAGTGAAAGCATTCAGAGAAGGAAGACCAAAAAGTAGCGTTCTAATTAGCACAAGAATCATCTCAGCAACTCTATGAAGGGGAACCACTGACAGCTTCCCAATTTTCCCCTCCATCCATAATACCCTTTTTTCCCCTCTGTGTGTGTGTTTGAGAGAGAGAGAGTTGGGGCATCATAAAGGAATGAGAGGTTTAACTAGTCAAGTTATATGCCAATGGTTAGTAATTGTTCACCTGTGGCTACAGTTTAATTACTTGTAATAAATAGTAATTCTTGTTAAGTACAGAAACCTCGGCCATGCTTTCTGTCAATGTGCGTCTAAGTGACAGGCAAATTGGAAATTTTGCATATTATTTAAAACCTTTAACTTCTGCGCCAACTCTGGGAATAGCAGGACTTGATTTCTAGTGAGGTG